ATATTACTGATTATGGATCCTACCTCAGCTGACACTGGGGGTGAGAGGTACATTGCTGTCCTGAGAGGTGGGGAGCAGAGGACCCCTCCAATCCCCCGACCTAGAAGGCATTCACAGTCCTCCTGCCAATTCTCACTACCTTAGCTCCCCAAAGGCCCAGAATAGGATGCCTCCTCAGACCAAGTATCCACCTGGTGGGCTTAGCCACAATGCCCCACAGCCTAGGCCTGGTTTAGTGGGTGAGGTGGAAGTTCCCGAGTCTCCATCCACCTGCCAAAGCAAATTCATGACTGGGTTACAGGAAAAAGGGATATTGGGGCCTGTCCCAACTAGCTGGGAAACTCAGGAGCCAGGCCTCCAGGACTGAGACTCACAATACAACGCACCAGCAAGGGAATAGGCAGCTCAGGACAATAATGTCCTGGAATTTGCGACCTGGTGGTAACTTGGCTCAGTATTAATAAGCCAGGTGAAAGCCATGAACAGATATCTCTGTTCCAAACTAGAACAAATGGAGGGATAACGCCTATGGGGCCTCAATACAGCCACTAGAAAGAATCATGACTAAAGGGAGCAGAACTGAGGAACTAAGACCAGCTAGAATTACAAAATCACCACCAACTTACCACCCAACACACACACACCAAAAAAGATCAAATCTCCGTGACTGAAAGCTTTGCCAACTCTTCTCAGTGGCTTTATATGCCAATTAATCTAACCCTCCCCAGAAAATGTAAAATGGCATGAGGCTGAAGTAAAATGACTCACCCAAATACCTGGGAAGTAGAAGAGCCCCACATAAATCTTGGTATATGAGCTCTTAGCATTCTGTTTTCAAACCAGGCCTCTCTCATGGCCCTCATACACAAAGATGAGTCCAGTGCACCTCTTCCCAACCCCCATCATTTCAGGGGAAGGAATAAACTGGTACCACTATTTATGATAGGGATTAGCTCACGCCATGAGATCAGGTGCTTATGGTCTCAGAACAATCCTGTGAGGACAGTGCCCACCTAACGCTCAGAGAGGCTAGGGAGATTCAAGCCCAATGATTAGACAACGGGACTAAGCTAAGAGACCAGCTTAGGAAACCCAATTCCAGCCGGCCTCAGGCCTCAACGTACACCTAACCCCCTTGCAGTCTCTGCCCACCCATCAACCAAATATTCTCCAAGCCTCCCTCTCACTGATGTGCCCCCATTATTTTCTGAGACAGAGTCTTGTTCTGTCACCCAGGCTGGAGTGCAATGGCATAATCTCAGCTCACTGCAACCTCCACCTCCTGGGTTCAAGCAATTCTCCTGCCTCAGTCTCCTCAGTAGCTGGGATTACATGCACCCGCCACCACGCCCTGCTTTTGTATTTTTAGTAGAGACGGGGGTTTCACCATGTTGGCCAAGCTGGTCTCGAACTCCTGACCTCAGGTGATCGGCCCACCTCTGCCCCCATTTTTAATTTGGAAAGTGGGCTGAGTAAGAAAAAAGCAGGTTTTCAGGTTTCATCTTTTTAATAAGCTCTGTGAAAGACATCCTAAGCACTGTATGAGACACAACAGAATATTTTTTCTTCCAGTATTAAAAAAAAAAAAAAGACATTTGCAAACATTTTAAAGCAACTCTTCTATATAATCAGTTTGATTATCTGAATTAGAAAATACCCCTGGATAATCATGTTATTGATACACTTTTCTTTTTTTTGAGATGGAGTCTCGCTCTGTTGCCCAGGCTGGAGTACAGTGGCGCGATCTCGGCTCACTGCAACCTCCGCCTCCGGGGTTCCAGCGATTCTCCTGCCTCAGCCTCCCGAGTAGCTGGGATTACAGGTGTACGCCACCACGCAGGACCAATTTTTTTATCTTTAGTACAGATGGGGTTTCACCATGTTGGTCAGGCTGGCTTGACGCACATTTCTTATAGGTATGTTTGGAAATTGCTTCCTAACCACAATAAACACTGTGTACAGGTTTTTAAAATGTCCTGGATACACATTAATTTTCTGAAACCAGTCTGGCCAAACTTGCCAGAATCAATTATTGCTAGCTCCAATAATCCTGAGAGGTCTAACTAAAAAACTGGTAAAAAGAAAAATACTCAGGCTCTACAAACGTTCCATAATTTGTCTTTAAATAGGCAGAAAAAATTTTTAAAAAGATGGAACTGTTAAAGATCTTTAACTACCTTGGCAGGTCAATTTAAAAACAAAAGGTTGATATGCTATAAAATAAGATGCTTCAGTGCAGCTCCAAAAACCTTTATAAATACAGCCATTTGGAAGGACGATCCTGGATCAGAAATTATTCCTTGTGTATCTGAGAACAGCAAGAGGGGGAGAATTGTGATGTCATGAAGGAACAGCTGACAACATGCTCACCTCCTAGAGCTGATGCAGATGCTGAGGGTTGGACAACAGGGACACCCCTTCATTCCCTCCATCCCACACAAAACTAGAGGATTACAGGAGATGGGTTTTCAGATCCCACCCCCTAGCAAACGTGCTCTGACATGCACCTGAGAGCAAGGAAGGCCTAGGAATGGTGTTTGGTAGGTTGGCTGGATGAGGTATGAGGGCACCAGAAATGCAGAGCAGTCTTGCCAGAAAAGGTGAGACAGTCATGACAGAGTGTGACAAACAGGTTTACTCAATGCCGATATCCAAGTCTCACCTACATTATGTGCATGTCTCATTTCACTTGTCATAATGGTCTCTGTAATTTCCTCCTGAGTAGCGGTCATAACCACCCTGGTTTCTGGGAGAAAAAAAAAACACACACACACAGTTTTCTGGGACTGCATTATACACCACTGTCATTAATTATATGGGTCATGTTTTATAGTATGTGTCATAACATAAACCTTAAATATCAAAAACACGATATGTTATGCATGAGTATCATAGTAAACAGTTTTATGGCATACAATGTATATGCAGTATTTAAATCATAATACACGTTAAAGCAATATAGTTATATAACCCACGCAGCACAACATATGTATACTTTACCATGTTACAACCATATGACCACACAATTAACTCAAAATGCTGAATTTCATACTCGTTTTAGGCACACATTAGTAACAGCAAGATGTGGTATGCATGAAAACCCAGGCGCTGAGTTCTTAAGGAGAGGGAATCAATAGCAGAACATCCCAGCCCCTTGGCTACCCACCTGCCATTATAGTCTCTGGAACGTCCATATCCATATCCATACCCTCCAGGTCTACTGTCATAATACCTGCCACTCCCATAGCCCTGGTCCCCACCACCTGGAACAGAAAAATATTTAAATGGCAGTTGTCCTCACCTAGGCAACTCTCCCTCTCACCCCATGATCAAAACTATCACTGCACTCACCTCTAGAGTAGCTGCGACCACGCCCATGGGCCCCAAAGCCACCTCCTCTGGTTCCCCGAGCAGACTTGCCTGCATGATCCACACGGATCTGACGACCATCCAGGGACTAAGTGTGGGAGACACAAGGAGGATGGGTTGGCAGTCAGGGCAGTGGTGAGGGAAGAGCAGGCAAGGGCAAGTGGGCAAAAGAGGCCAAAAATTCCTGCTGGGCACCAGGTTCTGGGTGCCATGTTCCAGAATAAGCTCCTTTACCCCAGAATGGTTTCATCAGGAGCTACAGAATCCCACACAAAATGACCTGAACGCACCATGTTCCCCTTGCTACTACTTACATCTTGACTGAACTCAGGCTGAGTTCTCCTCCCCACTCCTCTAAGCTGCCCGACTATCAGGGCTAGACAGACACCTCTCTTGGTTTGAGGCTTCAGAGTCCATGTCAGAAGACTCACGAGGTCCTCTCCGGGCCAGGCCCACAGGTCTGCAGACTCTACTACCTAAGCCCAAGGCAGGTCAACCATCCACAGGTGGCTTCTCGGCCTCATGCAGGACCAGTCGTCGCCTCCCAGGCGGCCAGGCTCTGTCTGCCGCTGCCCTCCACCCCCTAGAACAAAAGGCAGTCATGCTCCTGTGAGTGGGCACTGCGGGGCTTGGTGGCCACGCTGCCCCGAGCAGACACAGAAGGAAAAACAAAAAGAATGAAGGAAGCCGCAGATGGGGACAAGGTCCCTCTGCAGATAGGAGGCCCCACCTCTCCGTTCATGGCTCTCATGGCAACTGAAGCATGCTCTGGGTTGGTGAAGGTGATGAAACCAAAACCCCTGGACCGCTGAGTCTCCCGGTCCTTGACAACGACCACTGTGAGAGGGAGAGAAGAAGGAGCGATGTGGACCAGTCAGCACCACAAAGGTTAAGTAGCAAAGGGTGGTCCGAAAAGGAGATGGCGGTAGGTAGGGAAAACGGAGCCCTCCCACCAATCCCGAAGACGGTTCCCCTCATCCTTAGTGGACACCATAGGCTTAAGAAGAAAAAGAACATGGAAGCGTGGGTCCTAACTTTTCGGTTAATACTCCTTGAAATGCAAGGATCCCAGACTTTCTCTCATCAACCCCCATTGAGAGTCTGGCCCGTCTCACCCTCAGAGATAGGTCCGAAACTGCTGAAGTGGTCTTCCAGCGCTTGCTCGTCGGTGTTAAAGTTGAGCCCTCCCACGAAAAGCTTTCCTTCTTCAGAGGACATGGCAGTTCAAGTCCTGTGGGAAGAACATGAAGAATGGTGGCAGGAAGGAGGAACAAAATGGAGACGTGAGAAAACAGCGAGAGAGAAGGCGGAGAGAAGTACAGAAAATAAGAAAAAGGAACAAAATGGCTGGGCGCGGTGGGTCACGCCTGTAATCTCAGCACTTTGGGAGGCCGAGGCGGGCGGATCACAAGGTCAGGAGACTGAGACCATCCTGGCTAACACGGTGACAGCCCGTCTCTACTAAAAATACAAAAAAATTAGCCGGGCGTGGTGGCGGGCGCCTGTACCCCAGCTACTCGGGGGGTTGGGCAGGAAAATGGCGTGAACCCAGGAGGCAGAGCTTGCAGTGAGCCGAGATCGCGCCACTGCACTCCAGCATGGGTGACGGAGCGAGACTCCGTCTCAAAAAAAAAAAAAAAAAAAGAGGAACAAAACATGGGTAACTACAGAGAAGCTGGGAAAGAAGGCCAACAAGGTAGTAATCTGCGGAACTGGCTCAGCGCAGCCACCATTAGGGGGCCACCATTGCGCATGCTCACACATCCACAGCCGCCACACCCGTCATTTTGTGTCACTGCGCAAGCCCAGAACATCCTTGCGTTCCCTCAACGCCGGCAGAACAAGATGGCGGCGGCCACGTGGGATACGGAAAGCAAGTGTCCGCTGTCGCGTGGTCACTGCCACCACCGACGCCACCCAGTCCCTCCCGAGGGGCCTCACACTCAGATACAGCGCGCTGGCCTCCCACCAACCGAAATGTTCACCTCCCAGCACGGGACCCGCCCGCCCCAGAGAAAGCCAAGCCTACGTGTCAGCGGCCATTACTCTCCCCACTCACTATCCCCTGGTCTCGGCCGGCGCGGCGCGTATGTGGCGAGGAGCCGCCGTTCCGCAGGCCATACGCAACTTACCTGGAAATTAAAACGTAAAAAACCCGGACAGACGGCGAGCTCGGAGGAGCACAGAAAACAAGGACTGGCCTGCGCGGGAAGACGATTGATAAAGAGTACGTAGCAAGAACGTCCCGGAACGTTCCCCTTGCGCGTCCCGGCGTGCATGCTGATTGGCTGAGGCTAGCAGGGGCGGAGTGGCGGGGGAGAGGAAGGGACAGCAAAGTGAAGGGAGCAGTATTCTCTGCGAAATGGGGTGTTTCCGGAAATGGGGTCGACTTTTGCACAGATGGTGCACCCTAAACGTCAGCATCCCCCCCACAACCGGCTGAGCTGCCTTGATCCCTTCCACACAGGAACCTTCTCACTCTCATACTACTTGCCGTCCCTGACATCATCCTCCCGTCCTTGCCATCGTTTCCCCCGCTGGATCTGATGTCTTCCTCACCATCGCAATCGTCTTCCTCTAGGTCCCTGCCATTCTCTGATGTCAACCTCCTTCACCTTCTAGTTCTTTAACCTCGTACCCTTTAAAGGCCCGACATTTTATCCCCCACGTCACTGATGTCATCACCCTTCACAGTCCGTGATGTCAGACCGTACGTTTTAAGGTTTGACCCTGACTCCTACTCTTTCTCCTCTGTGCTCAACATCTAGCCGCCTGTCATGCGACATTCTTCCCTGGCGTCATTCCTTCTCATCTCTGACTTCAGCCCTCACCCTTGTCTGACTGCCCCCGTGAAGCCAGCCCCTTAATTTTCCCACCAATAGACTGCCTGAGATGGCTTTTACAAAACAGGATGCTGGCCGGGTGCGGTGGCTCACGCCTGTAATCCCAGCACTTTGGGAGGCTGAAACGGGCGGATCACGAGGTCAGGAGTTCGAGACCAGCCTGGCCAACATGGTGAAACCCCGTCTCTACTAAAAATACAAAAAAAAACCCCAAAAAACAACAAAAAAAACCAGTCAGGTGTGGTGGCACGCGCCTGTAGTCCCACCTACTCGGGAGGCTGAGGCGGGAAAATCGCTGGAACCCGGCAGGTGGAGGTTGCAGGGAGCCGAGACCACACCATTGCACTCCAGCCTCGGTGAAAACAAAACAAAACAAAACAGGATGCTGCGATCTTCAGAGGTTGTAAATCCCAGTCCTTAGAGCAATTTTTGCTCTCTTCGAAAGTAACTGAGCCCTTGCCGGGCGTGGTGGCGCACGCCTGTAATCCCAGCACTTTGGGAGGCTGAGGCAGGCAGATCACAAGGTCAGGAGTTTGAGACCACCCTGGCCAATATGGTGAAACCCTGTCTCTACTAATACAAATAATAATAATAATAATAATTAGCCGGGCGTGGTGGTAGGCACTTGTAGTCCCAGCTACTCGGGAGGCTGAGGCAGGATAATCACTTGAACCCGGGAGGCAGAGGTTGCAGTGAGCTGAGATCATGCCACTGCACTCCAGCTTGGGCAACAGAGCGAGACTCTGTCTCAAAAAAAAAAAGTAACTGAGTCCTTTATTCACAGAAGGGACTTTCGCAATACACAATAGACTTATCCCAAACAAGTAGTGTCTGAGCCCACTGTTCACAATTTGGTCTTCAGTGTCTTGACCACTTTTACAATAAATGGATTTGACAGATTTTTCATTTCTGAATGCCACATCATTGAAGAATAGGTTTGTCCTCAGAGGCTAAATTTCTTATCGATAGAATGAATTTGCCCAACACAGACCAAATTTGCTAACATACAGAATACAGTACATCCATATTCCTGTTGGGGTAATTCCCATATTTATCTTCCTGTTGATTGTCAGGGATTCCTCACATAGTCTCATTATTAATCCCTTAGGTGTTGGAAATAGCCTCTCCAGCTCTGGCATTTGTGTTATTAACTTTGTAAACGGTAAACTTAGTTGAATAAAGATCCATAATTTTGATATAATCATTTTTTCCCCCTATGGTCTGTGCTTTTTTTGGAGACGGAGTCTTGCTCTGTCGTTCAGGCTGGAGTGCAGTGGCACGATCTCGGCCCACTGCCACCTCTGCCTCCTGGGTTCAAGTGATTTTCCTGCCTCAGCCTCCTGAGTAGCTGGGATTACAGGTGCGCACAACCACGCCCAGCTAATTTTTGTATTTTTAGTAGGGATGGGGTCTCACCATGTTGACCAGGATGGTCTTGATCTCTTGACCTCGTGATCCGCCCACCTCCGCCTCCCAGAGTGCTGGAATTACAGGCGTGAGCCACCGCGCCTGGCCCTGAGCTGTTTTTTCTCTTTTTTTTTTTTTTTGAGATGGAGTCTCTCTCTGTTGCCCAGGCTGGAGTGCAGTGGCCTGATCTCAGCTCACTGCAAGCTCTGCCTCCCAAGTTCACGCCATGCTCCTGCCTCAGCCTCCTGAGTAGCTGGGACTACAGGTGCCTGCCACCACGCCCGGCTAATTTTTTTGTATTTTTTAGCAGAGATGGGATTTCACCGTGTTAGTCAGGATGGTCTCCATCTCCTGACCTTGTGATCCGCCTACCTTGGCCTCCCAAAGTGCTGGGATTACAGGCGTGAGCCACCGCGCCAGGCTTTCTCTTCTAAATAGGTCTACTTCTTAGCTCTTGGGCCAATATAGGCTTTTTTTCTTTTTTTTTTTCCTTTTATTACTAACGCCTTTAGTATGTCTTAATATCTAGTGGGCAAATCCCCATCATAACTCTTTCTTTGAAGGCTGTCTTAGCTGCCCATGATTCATTAGTATTCTAAATTCTAATATAAGTGTATTACAGTTCTAAAAAAAAGAAGTAATGAGGCCAGGCATGGTGGCTCACGCCTAAATCCCAGCTACTTGGGAGGCTGAGGCAGGAGGATCGCTTGAACCCAGGAACTGGAGCCTGCCGTGAGCTATGATCGTGCCACTGCACGCCAGACTGGGCAACGAAGTGAGACCCTGTTTCAAAACAACAACAAAAAGTAATGGAAGTTTTATTGAGATTGCATTGAATTTTTACATTTTGGGAGAAATGATGTCTTTTTTTTTTTTTTTTTTGAGATGGAGTTTTGCTCATGTTGTTCAGGCTGGAGTGCAATGGCACGATCTCAGCTCACCGCAACCTCCGCCTCCCGGGTTCAAGCAGTTCGCCTGCTTCAGCCTCCCGGATAGCTGGAACTACAGGCACCCACCATCATGTCTGGCTAATTTTGTATTTTTAGTAGAGACGGGGTTTCTCTATGTTGGTCAGGCTAGTCTCGAACTCCCGACCTCAGGTGATCCACCCACCTCTGCCTCCCAAAGTGCTGGGATTACAGGTGTGAGCCACCGTGCCCGGCCAAAATAACATCTTAATAATATTAACTGTGGAGGTTTTAAGATATGGTCACACTCTGATACTGCACTTGTCGGGAGTTGGAGCCTAACTCCTTTCCACTTGCATGTGTGCTGGACTTAGTAACTCAATTGTAAAGCACAGAATGAGGTGGAAGTGATAGTGTGTCATTTCCAAGACCAGGTTGTAAAAGGCACATCTGCTTCCTGCTGTCACGCAGATTGCTCACTCTGTGGGACATTAGCTGGTATGTCATGAGCAGCCCTATGGAGGGATCCAGGTGGCAAGAAAGTAAGGCCTCTTGCCAACAGCCATGTGAGCAAGCCTTCTTAAAGGTGGATCCTAGCCTTCAGATAACTGCAGTCCTGGCCAACATCCTGATTGCAGCCTCATGAGCAGCTCTGAGTCAGAACCACCCAGTTAAGCCACTCTCAGAATCCTGACTCTCCGAAACCGTGTGAGATAATAAATGTTTACTGTTTTAAGCCACTAAGTTTTGGGATAATTTGTTAAAAATAACTTACATATTACCAAAATCTTTCCAGCAAAGAGCATGAAATGTCTCTCTTTTATTCAGATCGATTTCTATTGTTAGAGTTTAAATTCTTTAAAATAGAGGTCTTTTGCATTAAATTCATTCCTACTTTTTTTTTTTTGTTGGTTGTTGCTGCTATACAGAAATGCTTTTGATTTTTACAGGTTGATCTTGATTTTGCATTAGGAAACCTTGCTGAACTCTTTTTTTGTTTGTTTTTTTTTTGTTTTTTTTTTTGAGATGGAGTTTTGCTATTGTTGCCCAGGCTGAAGTGCAGTGGCGTGATCTCGGCTCACGCTGAGGTCAAGAGTTTTAGACCAGCCTGGCCAACATAGTGAAACCCCGCCTCTACTAAAAATACAAAAATTAGCTGGTGTGGTGCGCGCGCCTGTACTCCCAGCTACTTGGGAGGCTGAGGCAAGAGAATTGCTTAACCCGGGAGGTAGAGGTTGCAGATGGACCAAGATCGTGCCATTGCACTCTAGCCTGGGCAACAAGAGTGAGATTCATCTCAC